AGATGCTAGAAAAAGTTCGTAAAGATCCCTCGCGCTACGAAAGATATAAAGTCGATTCGAACAATCAACTATACTATTATAAACCAAATATGGTTAAAGAAACCATCGGCGATAATAACGCCTGGAAAAAGATCTTTAAAGAAAATGATATTTTACCGATTATTACCGAGCATCATTGCACTACTCAATCCGCGCACCAAGGTATCAATAAAACTTATCTTTCGATAATTAATCATTTTTATTGGCCCGGTATGCGCGAAGACATCAAGCGTTATGTTAATGAATGCGAGACTTGCCTCAATGGTATGTGGTGAAACGCGTCGGTCAAATCGATAGTGCTAATAATGTTGGCCTCAGATAGCGCATCAAGTATGGTATCCATACGTGGCAAAGGGTATGCTGACTTCTTGGTGTTTTTGTTTAACATTCGAAAGTCCATGCATACTCTAGGCCTACCGATCGGTCAGCTCTATAACGTGTGTCGTTAAATTAGTGACACCGGTTCCTGATGTAAATTTTGATAATTTTTCATCTAGAAACGCATTTAATTTATCCCTTTGTTCCGGAGATAATTCGATTAGTTGGGCTGAATTTAGGAAGCTACGCGCATTGGAATTGGAGCCTAAAGGGTGACGAGTCGTTGACCCTTTCATGGACCAATAACCTTGGCTTGCATCAATAATAACTTGCCAACTAGTTATAAAGTCCATGCCTAAAATGACTGGTGTAGTTAGGCCGTCGAGAACGGTAAACCATATTTCACCGTGGCAATTGTCTATCTCGATATCAAATTTTACGGAATGACGAGGTGCGGCCACGCGATCGCGTTGTGCGAGTTGTACGCCGGCGCGCGTTATCGCATCCTTAATCGGATCGCCGTTAGCTAAACTTTCGATTTTGTCGAAAAGTTCTCCTGACATGAAAGTACGATCACTACCCGTGTCAAGGTGCGCTATTATTTTTTCATTACCGATTTTAATTACTGTGGAAATTGTACATCTTTCCTGAGGCGGTGATGGCGATGCGTGCCCTTTGTGTACTCTGCGCTTAGTTTTATCAGTCAATACAAATAAATTGTTTGACTGATTAATCAGTGGCAACGATCTAAGTGAAGATATGCACGCGCCTATTGTGGGGGAGAAATCTTCCTCAGATTCAGAGTACTCCGTCTCAGATTCAGAATATAAGCAATCATCATAATCGCTCTCAGAATCACTAGTATCAATCCTACCTGCATGCGCTTTGTTTAGCGTTGATGCTATTTGAGGATTGTACGTTGATTCATTAGCGATAAGAATGCTTTCTGGATTTGAAGAAGTATCAATTTCGTTTGAGTTATTTATCGGTCGATTTTCGTTTTGATTTAAGAGGGTTTTGCCAGGGAGATCTAGTCTCTCCTGGCATCTCTGTCGTTTTTTGATTGATTATCCTGCGCGTTGTGACCGAAGTTTTGTGGATAATCGCGGTTGTAATTACCATGCCATGGTGGCTGCGTTGGTTGCGGTGGAGGCGCGTGCGGAGGACAAGGAGGTCTCACGTTTTGCGCGCTGCACTGGCAATCTAGCTGGTAGTACTGCGAAGAGTGGGGGGAATTGTGGTAGTAGACTTGGTTGTGATTGCGACCACGGCCACTACCATTCCAACCATTGTTGTAACCGCGTCCGCGATTATTTTGATTATTACCGCCTCGGTGGCCATTTCCACGACCACGAGGATTTTCGCTTTTCTTGTGCGCAGACGATCTACGCTTTTCCCCCCCTTTCTGCGACGAAGCAGAGCTTGAGGAGCGAGAAGAAGTAGAAGTGGAACGTTTGCGCGATCTGTGAGAAGACGAAGGTTTGTTCGGACTGATCAAAGCGCTCTTGGATTTACTCGCTTTGGAATTTTCTGCGTCGCTTATATTTAATTTTTGTTTAAGGGACTCGAACTGTTTTTGATAGATGTCTATTTTATTTAATTTTTGTTCGGGCTCTGGTTTCGCTTTTTGTTTACTTTTATTCGCTTGTTTTTGTTTGTTTTCTGTTTTAGTTTCTTTTTCCGTTAGTTCGCCTGAAGAATTTTTAGATTGCGAATCAATTGCATTTAATTGGTTTCTATTGCGCGGGTTACGAGACCGTTTCGCGTTTTGTTCGCGCAATTTATTCGATTGTTGCATGAATTCGATTTTTTCTTGATACTTGCGTATCTTATCTAAAAGTTCTTCATAAGAGTTGAAGCTGTCGCGATCGAAAAGAGAAATTAGTTTCGAATGTAGGCTTAGATAAATTTTATCCAGTTGAATGTTTTCTGGAATTTTATTTCTCAATTTGTTATAGAGCGCGCCGATTTTTATGACATAGTCTATCCCTGTTTCATTTTACAATTGAACCGCGCGATGAATTTTATTGAGGATTTGGTTATCGTCATTTACATCGCTGAATGTTTTTCGGAATGATCTAGAAAATTCGGTCCATGTTGTCCATTTATGGCGTAACATGTTGAACCATGAATACGCTGTTTCTGTGAGCGTTTGGGAGAAAATCGGGAGAGCGTCGTTGGGATTGATCGCAGATGCTAACATTTTTCTTTCGAATTCATCGAGAAATTCGTTCGCGTCTAATTTTCCCGGAAATTTGAGATCCCACGATTTAATGATTTTATGTAAGTTTGGAACTTGAGTTCGTTGCGCGATAGAGGCGTTGAGAACCGGGTTCAAAGGAAGGTCAATTAAATCGTGTTGATTTCTGTCGTTTATGTTTTTGGGAGTTGGAAACATAAGATCTGGTTGTTCTGCGAAATGTAAATCGATTTAGTTGTTTCTTTTCTTAGCGCGTTTATTTCTAGGCGATTTTCGTTATACGCATCGAGTGTTTGTTGACGCGTATTTTCGAGATGGTGTCGGAATATTTGTTGCATATCATTTTTAAATTTTCTATTTTCTTCCGCTTGGGTAATTGCAAAATTTTCTATTCGTGTGTCTCTTTAGTCTTGTAGAAAGTTTTAGTAGTTGAAGTACCAGTACAAGTAATACTTATTATGCAGGAAAATGTTACAAGTTTATTACAAAACAAATACAGTAAAAACGTAACAGAATAATTTTAGAACACAGTTTTAGATTTTCCAGAAAAAATACTGAAAGTGTTTTTTTTGGTTTGAAACTACCCATTTTTCCAGAGTAGACAATGAGAGCACAAACCGACGAAGCAAATTGATTCAAGTCATATTATTATGAATCGGGTTCTTTTTTTCTCAATCTCAGTGGACCTTAAATTTTTCAGTGATACGCCTCCTTTCAGTAACAGGTATGATCTGCATATTTTTTCTCTCTTTATGGTTTTGGGTTCTATCTCCTTTTTTGCCCCCAAAGCGTTTTGAAGATGCACATAAGCATTATCATCGCAATCGGAGCCAATTAAAACCAAGTTTCCCAGAGCTCGTTTCTACATTGAAAATTCCACGGTTATACTCTGTGAACCCAAGAATTGGTCGATATAGACCTGTCGGTGGCAATTTCATTTCCAATGATCGCCAAGCATTTTCAACCGTAAAAATTGCAGTTTCTGTCTGCAAAAAAAAAAGAAAAAAAAGTTTTTTTTTATTGCCTTCGCTGTAATTGTTCGCTTCGTTGAATTTTCTGGATTAATTGGATCACTGTTCCTCTCACTTACATGATGGATACGTCCCAAAACGTTCACCAGATATCGATTAAAATAGTACAATCAGAAAGTTATATTATAAATTGAATTTTTTCACGGCCTAACAATTTTTTTGTGTTTTTGCATACGACGGTTTTTTTATTAAAAGAGAAATACGAAAGAGGTTTTTTGCATTTTAAACGAGAAATAAAGATGAATGATTTTTCCATGGTGTTCCCACAATTTCTTTTCCCCTCTTTTATTTAATTTATAATACTGAATTTCAACTATATCTCACAGGGTTTATGAATGATTTCCTGCACTTAATTTTTCAATAGCTTGCTTCAAATTACTCATATAGTTATAAGGTTTATTACATTAAAAAAAATATTTTACATTAGCCTAGCACTTTCCATTCTTTCCCAGGTGGATAATGTACGAAGAGGGGCAGCTGACTTAGTGAAATTAATCTTCATTAAAAACAAAAATAATCTCTTTGTTACGCATCGTAAAAATACTTCTTAACAAGTGATCTCTTGTAATTGATTAAAGAAAAAAAATTAGTTATAATTACTTAATAGAAATTCCAACTCTTTAGTTTAAAAAGACTTTTCTAAGAAGAATATTTAAAAATAAAGTGATTTTAGCAGTAACTGAATATAATAAAACAAGTGAGCTAATAATTCAGTAAACGGTAAAATTTGTTATTATCAAACTAAACTTTTTCCTTTAACTTGTTTAATAATTAATTTTTTATAAACAAACTAAACTATTTTTTCTAATTTATACTTAATAGTCAATTTATTGTAAACCAAATCTCCTGCTTTTAATTTACTTGAAAATAAATTTTTTATTAAAAAAATAAACTTTTCTTTTGATAAATAATCGAAATTTGTTATCAACAAACTAAACTCTTTCTTTTAATGTATCCAGTATTCAATTTGAGTATTAAACAAATTAAAAGGAAAATAGTTCATTTAAATTCAAGAAAATTTTTTTGTATTTTTGTTGTCCTTTTTTTGAAATTCTGTTTATATAAATACTTTATTTGAAAGTGTCACAATAAAATTGTTTTCCTTAAAAATCTTGTAGGCAAAAAAGTGTCACAGAGTCAGTGATCTATAAAATTCCTTTTGAATAGAATTCCAATGCTGTTTAGCTTCTTTTACTTTCTTGAAAATGTTTTGTCAATCGATTCAAACATATATACGTTTTCACTTCTTTCCTATTACTTTTAATAAAATCCTCAATTTTTCGATTCAAAAATCCAAAACGTATAAACTATTTGATTCTAAAGTATAAATGTTTATTAATTTATTTTTATTCAGAAAGAAAATGCAACCTATTATGTTTTTCCTAATTTTCTTTTTTTCTAAAAATTTCCAGGTTTACCGAAGGGAAATCTAACGATTAGAGTGGAAAAATTACGTTACTCACTTGGTGATACCGTGAGAGGCAATTGTACGACTCCTGCTGGAAATCCACCAGCAAATGTAACATGGACTGTCAATGGACATAAGGTATAGGTCACTATATAAATAAAAGTTTTATAAAGTATTTATTTTTTATAACTCATCTGACTAATCCAGGAAGCATGGATTGCTCTTTTTAATGATACAAAAAAAACCGGTATTTCAGTCACGTGTAATTTCGATTGCACGTTATTAACTCGAACGTACCGAGAGGGCCTCTTATAATACATTAATGATCATTTAAAATCACTTTCGCAATAATCCGAGACGTGTCTACTTGCAGATAACCTCTCATGCAAAAATTTTATTTCTCCATAAAATTTATTTCAACTTTTGCCTTAACATTTTTATGGTGATTTTCTTTTCATTTAAATAAATATGTACTTTTTCGTTATACACACAAAATCTGCGCAATTTTATTCACTTAACAAATATAATCAAATTATTATTTAAATAATATATATATAACAAAATTAATGTACAAAATCTAAGCAATAATCGAAAAACTCCCGAGTCCGTTAACTCCCTAAATTTTTGACAGTGTACACATTTTTTGCGCAAATGAAAAAATTCAAAATTGAAGTACCTATAAAAAATTAAAAGACAATGAATATTGAAATTTGTTCTCACGATTCGAAATCTGATTCTACATATATATAAAATAAATAATTCCTGATGCATATCCGTAAGCAGGTTTTTCATGTGTTCAATAAGGAGAAAAAATTGTCAAAGATCTAAAATGACGATTATGTGAATATTTTTTTTCCTCTTGCATATATAAAGTTTAACTATTTGACAGTGTAGTGGCAGCAGGTGTTTACATGAAATTAATCAGATTGAACGTTCTCTTACTATTTATAAAACGAAGAAAACTTTCAGAAAGAACGCTCGACGAGTGACAAGATAGTCACGACAAAGATGAGGGGGGAGGGAGAAATCGATAAAAATAAAGAATAAAATGAAAAAAAAAATTTCCTCGTTCAACCACTTTACTTGAGATCATTTGTTGGTAATTATACACAACATCGATGACGAGGAAGCAAGCACTCTCGACGATGAAATCTTCTTCTCTTGCATATAATAAAAATATGAACTCGTCATCCGAAAAAAGAAGTTATAAATTTTTTTCAATTTGCATATATGAGAAAAATTTGAAATCAATCCACGAAATTATAATATCGAAACAATGAGAGAAGATATCGTCAATGGAGAAAAGGCAAAATCTACTTCTACCCAAGAATGCATTAGCAAAAGCTTGCCAGAAGCACTTTTATCTTTTCTATCGTCGCTTTTCTACTCTCTCTGTCCCTCTTTGCGCGCGTAGAATTTCAGAACTCCAGTATTTTTTAATAATTTTCCTCTACGTAAACACTCTTAATTAAAAACAAACGATAGGGGAAATTAAATTTTTTAATGAAGTGATTAAGATGTTTTCACTTGGATGGTTGTCTTGAAAGTGAACAAAATATTCTCCAACAAGTGATAGATTGATTTTGATGAGAGAAAAATGCATTTTATTTTTCGATATTTTCGTTAAGAAATTTTATTAATATAGAAAGCAGTTTAAATTTTTTTATATATCGCGAGTAATAAATTATTGTATTTATTAAATTGCTTCGTATGGAAGTCGTCATAATATAGACTTGAAATGATTATTCTGGTACTGCTCCTACACTGACCTAAGCACTGAAAAAAACCGAATAAATTAACTTTTACTATTTTTTTACTTACATTTAAATTAACCTAAACTATCTGGAGTTGCTGTACATTTCTTCTTTCTGTCAATTGTTATTATTTAGTGTTTTAGTAGTAAATTTTAGTACAAAATAAATTTACTGCGGACGCAGAAAAATTTACTTTAGAAATAGTAAAAAAATTGCGTGCGGAAATTCCATACAGTTTTGATTTTACAATTATTTTCGATATATTAATAAAATAACTATATAATTTAGATGTTGATTAACACCTTCGCAGTTTGATGAAAAAATCGTTTTTGGTCCACAAATGATCCAAACAAAAAAGTTTCTAAACAAATTTGATTAAGTTATATTAAAGGTTTTTGGGATTACTGAGTCCAAATCTAATGATATATCTAAATTTAATATAAAATTTGAAAATTCTAAAATCTGGGATCCAATATGGCGACCTAAAAAATTATTTAATTAATATTTAATTTGTCTAAAAATTTTTACTCGAGGGATTTTGGGGTCACTGAATTTCAATTTAATCTCAGATTTTAAAAATTCAATATGGCGGATCCAAAATGGCGGAAAATTGATTAAATTTTGTAAATGTAAACACCCCCTACAAACGAGTTTTAAGTAACTCTGGAAAATTTTTAACATTTCTGGTTGCCATATTTTATCCGCCATTTTGGATTTTAAAAATTTAACATTGTATTCAAAATTCAATTACCCTAAAAACCACCAAGTGACACATTGCAACCGAAAGACATCAAAATTTTTTTGTATTTTTAATATATTTATCATTAAATTCGAATTTAATGACCCCAAAAACTCTTGAGTAACAAACTTCAACCGAAACATATAAACATTCAAATTTTCTGCCATTGGGTGGCCATATTGAAGACAAAATTTTTAATTTTTAAATTGATAATAAATTTTAATTTATCACTTGTAAAATCTCTCGAATGACGAGTTTCAAATCTGGATAATTTTTACAATTTTTGGTCGCCATATTGGATCCGACATTTTGAATTTATCAAATCAGATATCAGATTCGGAATCAGCGACCCCAAAAACATAATATTGCATATATATGTAATAAAAATTTTAATGAAATGAAAAATTTATCAAAAATTTAGAAAAATGCACCATTTTTGAAACAAAAACAATTTTAGATAAAAATTTTAATGATTTCAAAAATTTTTTGCGATATTCAAAATAGAAACTTAAATATTTTAGTCACTTTCTATTGAGCCTTAATTGACAGTGTACCAACGTAAATAAATTGACAAAATCTATATATAATTAATTGATGAGAATAAATATAAAACAAAATTATTTTCCATTATTTGGAAATCTTTATAACTTTTTTAAATTGATACGTTTTAGAAAATTTTATTTTTTATTAAAAATGTTTCTTAAAGAATTTAACCCCTTGTCAGTCCAGGTCCCATATATGTCCAGAAAAAGTCATCCCACTTTTATGTCAGTGGCCATAATATGACCACTTAAAAAATACTAAACATAAGTCGATTTGAGTGGCGATGGGTATACTAAGGTTTTTGGGCTTGCTTGAAATTTATTGCTCTGGGGTTTTTCGGGGTCGCCGATTATGAATGTGATGTCAGATTTTTAAAATTTTAAAATGGCGGTTTGATGTCAAAATTAAAAAATTTTAAATTGATGACCGTTTTTATGCTCATAAGCGATTTTTAACTGGACTGCAAAGGGGTTAAATATTAAAAACAAAAAAGCGTTAATTATTTTTAAGATATTCTCTTTTAACATTAGGTTGATTATAAATCGTGGAATAAACATTGTTAAGTTAATCAACTTAATAAATTTTAATGTTTCTCGAAGTGAATGACAGCAAATTAGTATTTAAATTGTCATGAGGCGTAGGTTAGTGATTAATGTGAAGGTCTAAAATGCGTAAGGTCTCGAGTTTGACTCTCTCAAGCGACTAATCTTCCCACTCTTCCTTAACACATTATTAAAAATGTAAGAAAATGACAAATATATTTGTTTCATTAAATTGATTCCTAATAGAGGAAGGATTGTATTAGCAAAATTTTCGATTGTGATTTTTTGACATATTTTTAATAACTTATTTTCATTATACCTAATCTTTTAGTACTTTTTGTACGAATGGGCAGTGCCCGTATAAATGTTATAAATAAATAAATAAATAAAGATTTCGATGTAATTTGACCTCAGAAGTCCAAAAAACGGATTTTAAAAAAATGTCCCGATGTGCACTGAAAAACTTTTTGTTTCAATATTTTTTTAATTGTAGGTCTCCCCGGGAAATATAAAATGAGAGACTTTCAGCCCGATTCATAAAGTTTAACTATATTTTTTTTGCATTTTTCATTTTGTAAAAAAAGTCTTTTGGCTATAACTTAAAAAAATGTTAGGACACCTATAAATGTTTTTTTAGTTTTGCAGAGTATTTTCAGACGCATCTTTTGAGCCTTTATTGGACATTTTTCGTTTATATTAGCCAGAGATATTAAAGTTTTAAAAATCTAAATTTTTCAAAAATAATACTTTTTTGAAAATTTTGTTGAAAAATGTAAAAGTATAACTTTAAAAGTATCATTACCAACTTGTACAGCATTAAGAAACGCTTCGATTGACCTATTTTTGAACCTGATTCGGTCAGAAATTATGAAGTTATTGGTATTTGAAAAATCAAAAATTGTGGAAAATATCATTTTTTCAACATTCTTGTTTATTAACTTATGTGTAATTATTAAACTATTATAACCATCTTATAGAATATATAAAAACACATTTTTTGGATCAAGATTTAATGATTGTTAACCTTTTTATAAAAAGTAATTCTTATATTTCAATTATTATTATTATTTCTATGAGGAAGCAAAAAGTTCATGAAATGAATACCAAAATTATAAAAATGTATAACTTGGCAGCGGTTTTTCATTTCTTTGTTTAAGTATTTATTTAAGTACTAATTGCTTAAACTGATTTTAATTAGGCAGTCATGTTAGAATCATGTTAGCTTCCAGCTAGATTGCCAATATGGGTCCTAATTAATTGAAGGGTAAAATATAAAAGATCAATTTTCCAATTCTACACGAGTGCAAAATACATAGAAATTGAAAATGTCAATTTCAGATCGTTTATATAAATATAAACATACATGTATAACGTAACGTGTAAGAGCGTGACGATACGTGCGAGCATGGCAGAGGATCTCATGCGTCAGATTATACGCATATACTTAGAAGTTGAACCGAATGTCCCGCAAATTACGTCCTGTAAAGAGCTGCCGCATGCTTGTGAGAGGCGGGAAGTACATATAAGATCCTATCCTGGCGAGCAAACGACCGAGCGAAA